TGCAGCTCTGCCTGAGAGCCTCACCCCTCAGAGACACCCACCACTGAATCAGGAGGCCCCAAAAGCACTGCACTCTCTGTGCCAGAGCCAAAAGGACACTCCTTTGAGCTAGAGTTGAACTAGGAACCTAACGATGGCAATGTCAAGGAACCTGAAGTCACCCACTCTACCAGCTGAGCTGGTGAAGGAAGCATGGAACCTGTCGCTGACATTCTCTTATACTTCATAACATTGCAATATTTTACCTTATACAACATACTTTCTTGTCTTCAAAATATTGCTACCTCCACCCAGATGTACCCTCATCAGACCTACCCCTTTATCAGAGTCTGGTCTGATCTCACCAGGCTGATCTCTCAGTCTAAGTGTCCCACTGACAGAGATCCTAAGCTTATTTCACTGACTTCATTTCCATGAGTGCCCTATCCATCTTGTCCAATAGCTGTTTTTCTGCTTGCTGTCATTTTTATCTCCCAAACACGTCATATTGCTTGCTGCTGTGGAGGGCTGCAGTGGGCGGTGATCCTAAGGTGGTGAAGGAGAATGCCATTCACCATGAGAAAAATATGAATGGACATAAATCCATGGTTTTGGCGTAGGAAGTAGCCAGCAAACTCTTGTGTTCGTTTACTTTACATTATTTTGTATTCTTCTATTTTTTCATAATGAACGCTGCTTATCATGTAACTAGGAATATCATTTTTCCAGGGACCCACAGGGAAGTTTCTTTAGATGATACTTGATGTCATATAGTTCTTGTCCTTACTTGTATTGTTTCTTCAGATGTACCTAACAGAATCGTTTTTCTCACTCATACAAATTGCTCTACCAGTATCTAGATCTCTTTCCTGTTACTAAATCATTACCAATTAGTATATGTTATCTCAGTGTGCAGAGAGTTGGTTTGGTAATGTACTATTTGTAGTCAAGACAGTTTTCCCAAAATCAACATAAGAATGTATGTCATCTTTTGTTAATTTTTGAAAGTAATCCTGTTAGTAGTCTAAAAAAATTCTAAGCAAAGTGAGTGTGCAACTTAGGTTTTTCATCTTTTCAAAGCTACATTCTGTTCAAATTCTTATTTTTTATGAGATTGTTTGAGACATGGGGAGGGCAGAATATGTCTTTGGGTCTGTGGAAAAAGAAAGAAAGGCTAGCAATTGATTATCCAATGCCTGCAACACACATGGGTTTTGAAAGTAATATCTCTTCCTTCCTTTTTTTTTGTCCTAATTCTAATTTCTGGGGTTTGTTTTCAGCTAAGAAAAATGGGGTAGATTGCATAATTTCCTTAAATACTTGGATGGCACATAATGTCAATAGTTAGACATGATTTAGCTTACTTTTCCAGTTCTTATGTTTCATGTTTTATTATGTTTAGGGCACATGTTAAACATGACCAAAAATTTAAGTTTAAGGTACAATATGAATGGTATATTGAATATGATTGAATGTGATCCCCTTCATGCTATTAGAGACATGTTTAAGGAGTTATTTATAACCTATGGTTCTATGACTTGAGTTCAGCAGAACTGAAGAGATTGTTGGCAGAGGCTGTTCCCAGGCTCTTATCAGTCTTGATATCGGCAGAATGTCTTCCAGGTGGGAACTGTCATCAGGAGCAAAGCAGTTATATTTTACTGGAGGAATATCCTGTACTGGGAGTTCAGAGGAAAATCAAGTAGGATGCCACTCTGAGGTTAAATTTGTTAGAGGAAGTGTAAGCACACTACCTTCGCACCACAAGTATTTTTGCTCGTAACAGTCATGGCTAGCTCCTGAAACACTCAGAGATAATATTTACAAAATGCATCATAGCTTGACTTGTGATTGAATCAGTTTAAAATACTACTAAATGACTTTTGAGGCCACTAGAGGTCAGCACTAGTCATTAAATTAATGTCACGGAAAAATCTTATTACCGATTCTTCAAAGTGAGTAGTGATTTCTGAAAAGATACACTTCTGTTTATGCTTGTTTTGCAAGTGTGTGTCAGCTCACACTGCCAGTGCTTCAATATGGCTGGAAGCAAACTCTTTCTCCTCTATGCTGTGTTTCCTCAGCACTGTGAGCTAAGAGTCACACACGATACTTTTCAAACTATACCTGTCTTTGGATGCTGAGTACAGTCAGGAGAAAAAGGCAGTATCCAGCCCTGTCCTAGCAAAGGCTTCCCACCAGCATAAACAACCCAAACTAGTTGACACTATACTCTCATGAGACCTCACATGGAATCGTAGAATCATAGAATCAACCAGGTTGGAAAAGAGCTCTGAGATCAACAAGTCCAGCCCTTGATCCAACACCACTGTGGTTACTAGATCATGGCACTAAGTGCCACATCCAGTTTCATCTTAAAAACCTTCAGGGACGGTGAATCCACCACCTCCCTGGAGTACAGCATTTTGCTCTGGGGATCCCAACATAAGGACATGAACCTGCTGGAGCAAGTCCAGAGGAAGGACATGAAGATGATCAGAGGGCTGGAGCACCTCTCCTATGGAGACAGAATGAGAGAGTCAGCCTGGAGAAGAGAAGGCTCTGGGGAGACCTTAGAGCACCTTTCAGTACCTAAAGCAAGACAGCTGGAAAGGGACTTTTCACAAGGGCATATAGTGATAGGACAAGGACTAATGGCTTTAAATTAAAAGAGAGTGTGTTCAGATTAGATATTAGGAAGAAATTCTATACTGTGAGGGTGGTAAGGAACTGAAACAGGTTCCCCAGAGAATTTGTGGATGCTCCATCCCTGGAAGTGTTCAAAGCCAGGCTGGATGGGGCTTTAAGCAACATGATCTAGTGGAAGATGTCCCTGCTCATCATGGGGGGGCTGGAACTAGGTAATATTTAAGGTCCCTTCCAACCCTGACCATTCTATGATCCTATGACAATCATCTTCCACTGCTTTAAAGATCGACTCAGAAGTGCAGCAGTGGGAAATTAGGCCTGAAGACAGGCACTTGAAACCAGGGTTAACTCATTATGCTTTTCCACCTTGTGCTTCAGAAAGATGCTTTCCTTCTATTGCAACTCCTAACTGTGTTTTCCATCATCACCGTCTGGGCTTCTGCAAACACAGACACTGTTTACAAAATTTTAATATAGCTATTATAAATGGGCAATTTAATACAGAATTTTCTTTGCCATAAAGAAAATAATGTTGCCTGGATAAACAGTGTGATCATCATGTTTTTAAACAACCTTTAAAAAAATCTTTATCTTTGTTGAAACCTGCTAAATTATGCAAATGAGTTGGCAATCATAATGCAACAAATGCCTGTGAATTATTATCATGCTGCAATCTGTGCTTTCAGCATGTATCACCATCTCCTTTAACACAGTAGCTGACTAGGTATCAATACACAAAGTTCATTCTCAATGTAATAGAAACACCTCTTTTATCAAAACTTTCATGTTCAATCCCTTTGTGTCACTTTTCTTCCACTGAGTACATCAGAGCTGGAAAAAAGAAGCCTGAACACACTGTTCAGAATTGTTATATCTATATTAAAATATTTTTGATAGGGTTTTGTGTCTGTATATATGCACATATACAGAAGACTTATTTTCCTTCTGTTTTTTTGTTTATTTGTTTTTCATGTTTAAGAAAACTGGCTCTGAAATACCATCCAGACAAGAATCCAGACAATCCAGAGGCTGCAGAAAAATTTAAAGAGATCAACAATGCTCACGCAACCCTGACTGATCTGTCCAAGAGAAACATATATGACAAATATGGATCATTAGGGCTCTATGTGGCGGAACAGTTTGGTGAGGAAAATGTCAACACCTACTTCATGCTCTCAAGTTGGTGGGCAAAGGTAATCTGTTATTTTCTGTTGGAAATCAAATGTTACAATGCATATGGACAATTACATGCACAGGGACCCATTGAAAAACGTGGTTTCTCTACAGGCTTAACAAATAATAGGATCGGACTCTAAACTGCTACTAAAAATTTAAAAAAGCAACAACATTATCTGGAAAATCGACAGAGGCAGAATGTAATGTGAGCTTAGACTAGTGCTAATATAGAAAGTTGGGGTTTACTTGGTGAATAGTTACAGTACATGTTTTGTAATACTTTTAAACATTCATTAGATTTGAATCTAGTGCTCCAGGATAATTTTGACTTTCTTTTCAGTAATGACTAAAAAAAAAATAACTCATTATCCAAAAACAAGAAGTCCCACTTATATGATAATCAGTTAATAAATTATTACCCTACAAATTTAACTGTCTTATTTGCTATATATAGCACACAACATAAGTAAGCAATAATAACACTGTGTTTATGGCATCATGTATGTGTCCTGGTGAGAGAAAGGAACTAGAAGAAAAACTTGGAAGAATGGAATGGAGGAAGAGAGTAGGAAAGAAAGAGAATGATATATCAAAACCTTGCATATTGCTTAAGGTAAAACAAGGCTGTTCTAGTTATAAAGGAGTTGGGTTCACACGGTCTCTTATCTTACTGGTGTCCTCTGATGTTTGTATATGTCAAATTCAAGTGCTTCTGCAAATATTGAAATATTACAGATATGGAACAAACAGAATTGCAACTGTGCAAAATCCATACTGTCCCCACCTGTTTGCAGCAGCAGAAGCATAGGAAACAAAAGACTGTAATGGAATACACAGGAAAATGATCTGTACTGTTTGAAGCAAGCACACTATGAGACCTTTTATCTGAGAACTGTGGAACACGGATTCTTGTGTTCAGCACGGATCAGGCCAATGCTGCACTGCTCTGCAGTCCCCTTTCAAAATGAGAAGTCACCTGTGCACTTTGTGGGCCTGAGAAGCCATAATTTTTCTGCTGAATCAGTATGAAATGGACACTGCTCAAATGCAGTGAATGAAACCATTAAATTAAACTTCCAAAGGCTCAGTTGCCCCCTCAGAGACAGGTTGGAGGCTGCCTGCTTGCAGCTGCTGTAGCTGACCCCTGCTGCAGGCTGGACACCCCATTATAGCTGCTGAATGGATCATTCCCTCTTTTTTTTCTGTCCACCATCTCTTGCAGCCCTTTTGTCATGTTTTAGGTGCCAGGAAGCATTGCCTTAGTGCTGAGAGAGCAGCAGCGTTGAGTCCTTTAACAGTCTTTGTAAACAAGATTTTCTTCACTGTTTGCTGCTTTTTTTTTAGCTTTTATTTGCTTTTCTACTTATTGATCTTTATTGAAGATGTTATGAAGGATAAAATCCTCTGGGATTAGAAAATCAGAAACAGAAATAACAACTGTGACCTTGACTTATATAGAGAGAAGTGGAGAGTATAGAGAGAAGTTAATAAGTCCCTAACAGCTATAGGAGGAATGTGAGTATTGTTTCAAGCAAGCTGTATCTCAGAAGTGAGACAAGATGTGCTGAATAGCAAAAGTAATCACTGCTTCCCGGGTTTTATGAATTTTGTACAAAAAATCCAAAATATGTATATAGACACATTTGAGGATTTGAGGATTGTCACTCTCCCTCAACCCAAAATCTTGCCACTTTCAAAGCATAAACAGGCAACCAAATTGGGGTTTTTTTGAATTATAATACTATTTGAGTCTGAGGCATCATCTATAGATAACCACTGAACCCCTAATTTTCTCCATTCTGGTAGAAGACAATAGGGACCACAGCCTTCACTTGTTATCTCCTGCTTCAACTGCAAACATTCCCCTTCCCCAGCGTGGTCATACTCATAAAATCTGACAATTGTGAAGGGGTTTATTATAAGCAGTTAGGGAACCCAATGGAAAGGAGAAATGCAAAATGAAGATTACTTTTTTTCAGAGTGCCAGACTTCTTAGCGGGTATATTAAACTGGAAACATACAGACATGGGTAAGGGGAAATAGAACTACTTCTTCACTGGCAGGCACAGGACTTGCTTGTTCATTTAACTGTTTCATCAGAAACCAATTCTCCCTCTACCATGAAGACAGTTTATTAATCACATCAATAAAATGATTTTTGATTTACCACCTGTGATAATATAGGCACAAGAAATCTTGAAACACTAAAGTTATCATTAATAAATTCAAGGGGTTTTCCCCCTCTGTATACTTTTTTATGCCTTTTTTTCATTCTATACACAGTGGTGATTTATTCTCCATTATGGCATAAATGATAAACAGTCAGACAACTTATTTTAGGGATTATGGCATTTAGAACAGTTTGAGGTGTCTATTGGAAGGAAAATATTTTAAAACAAAGAGTCAGTATCCTTTTCATTTAAAACCACTCTAGATACATGCCTATTAATATTAGGCATATAAATAGTCTTGTTACCTTCAAAGATGCTCCAGTCAGCCCCCACTAATGTTGCCTGAGACATGCATACGTAACAATGTTATTTACATAGCTCCACTGTCAAAGTTTGACAATATCCTGACATCTGTGCTTATTTTCTCCCTCAGCAGCATGTTGTCTTATGAATATAATGAATAGTCATTAAAGAGCAGACTGTATAACCATAATGCTAAAGCCTGGCTATACCTCCAACTCATATATACCTGGTGGCCACAAAGCTCTGCTGCTTTTACATACACATTTACAGAATGGTTTGGTTTGGAAGGGACCTTAAGGATCAAGCAGTTCCAAGCCCCTGCCATGGGTGGGGACACCTTCCACTAGACCAGACTGCTCAGAGCCCCATCCAACCTGGCCTTGAACACTTCCAGGGATGGGGTACTCACAATTTCTCTGGGTAACTGTTCTGGTATCTCACCATCCTCACAGTAAAGAATTTCTTCCTAATATCTAATCTAAGCATATTCTCTTTCTGTTTATTTCTATATATCAGCTTTGACTCGCTTTTCAGGAATGTCACTGGATTTCCTTTGGTCTTATACCACTATGTCCAAGAAGAGATGTGGAGTTTTCTCCTGTGTCACAGACATCTCACTACAGGCCTGGATCCATCCCAGGTCAGGAGCCAGGCTGCTGTCATGTCCTCATGGAGCACAGAGTGGCAATGCCAGCCTAAAGGCTCCTCTCCTGAAGGTCCCCCATCCTATTGCTGTGATGCAGCACACACACAAGCAACTTGCGAGCTGTGCTGTGAACCTGGGCAGTGACCTGGTCCGCAGGAAGAAAAGCTTTGTAAATTTTTCTGGCTCTTGACTCTGACTGAGATCTCTGGTCTTGGCCCCAGGCCATTGTGTTGGCTCTGCTGAAGCCTCTTGCTTTGTGTCACAGGGAAAAGAGCGAGTAAAGGGCCATGTGGGTGGGAAATTCTTTCTGCCTGAGTCTGCAGATCGAGAAACCATAGACCGAGGAGTACAATTTAGGAGATATCACCTGTGTGGTCCTGTACAGGCTAATGTGGAGAAAGAGAGACACCCCCAATGGGCAATTCAAATCCTCATGTGGCTGAATTACCCTCTGGAGGAGCTTTCAACTTCCCTTTGACTCTGTGGGGAGCCCACACGGGCTAATTTGGATGCCTTAGTTCAGTGCCTAAAGTTATGTGGGATGCATCTGGGTCTTTGCTTCTTTTTCTCTCAGCTTTGTTATTGACAAGAATCTGACAGTAAATAAGTGTTTGCAAAAATGATCTTGGGCAAATGAGTCATTTTAAAGATGGAAATGAGTCATTTTAAGGTGGGTGGGGTTTTGCATAGTGCCTGGAGGGCTTTTCTGAGGGCCATCAGCTGAAGACAGACTTTCAAAAGCTGAGCATGTGGGGGCCCTGTTGGTTGGTGTCTTCTTTGTGGATGTGGTCCTGAGTGACAAGTAGGAGCTTGGTGGCGAGGAGGGCTTTGAGATATCTGGCCCTTGCTCAGGCACTGGGCCAGCAGCTGGACTCCTGAGTGCCAAGTATTTGGGAACCAGAGTCCCTCTGATGATCTGCCTTTATTTTTAAGAGGCTGCCAAAATTTTGAGCAAGGTCACTGCTGACAGGTTTTTCATCCCGCTGTGTTTAACCCAGGGCCTGTTTGCAGTCTGTGGCTTGCTGACGGGCTGCTACCTCTGCTGCTGTCTCTGCTGCTGCTTCAACTGCTGCTGTGGAAAGTGTAAACCCAAGGTACCCGAGGGGGAACAGCAGGAGTTTTGTGTGTCTCCAGAAGATTTGGAAGAGCAAATTAAGAACGACATGGAAAGAGGTGTGTATTGTAGGGGCTTACTGTGTGGCAAGGCTGTTCAAAACAATCTTCAAAGCCTGCAGTCCAGATGTTCTGCTCACAGTGCTGAGGCTGCTTCCAGACTTCAGTGGAGATGTGCCAATTCACTCTAGCTAAGATCGTGACCCAGTGAACTTCCCAAGTTACGTATTAATGCAAAAATAAAATTATGGCACTAACAGCTAAATATCTCCTGTATCTCTTATGAGACGCTCAAACATTAAAAGTCTCAGGACTTATCATAAGAGGTGATGTTCACCCTGTAGCCCCCATGCCCCCATTGCTTCATATCCTAGATCCTGTACTCACACATTAGGCTCTGCTAGAGTGCTGCTTGTCATATCTGATTGGCCTGAATAAGCTGTCGTTTGGGTTCTATTTATGTAAAATTTATCCCTGCCTATGATGGACTAACTGTACCCATTCAAGAAGAGGCTTCAAGAAAAGATGCAATGTTTCCAACAGTGTAGTTGCACAGTAACCCAAGAGTTTGCATAGAAGCTGCTGTGGTCCTGCCCCTCTCCCATCCAGCCCTCAAGCTGCTCACTCTCTTCTGCACTGGCAGTAGCAATTCCGCTACTTTACCAGGCCCCAGATCTTGGATAAAATCCAGGTGAAAACTAATCCTCTCAAAAATGTGTGTAGTTCCTGGCCCATTTAATTCCCTGCTGTGCTCCACGGTGGGACAGGCCAAGCACCAACTCAGAAGCAAGAGTACCCAACCAGGAACATGGGCCTGGGGAAGAGGGAGGATCTTCACAGTAGGTTACCCTCTTTTCTTGATTTTGCTGCATTCCCTCAGCTACATGTTCAGGTTTTGGCTATACCAAGGAATGATGCTGGTGATTTTCTGATTGGCAGTAGTGTGGATTGCATACTTTGAAAAAACAGCCCTGTCCTAATCTGCTGAAGAGAGGCAGAGTTTTGCCTTCATATTTAGGGGTAGCAGAAACATCTCAAACTGGTTAGATATGTACAGGGTGAGACATACAATGATTCTTGCTCCAGCAATATGAAGCCAAGGTATCAGGGGAGGACCTAGAACACTTTTCAGTTGCAAATTTTTATAAACTTAGGATATCAGGATTATGCTTTTTTATGAGGAAGGACCTAAGCAGTCAGCTCACTCTTTCTCTCTTCCATTGTTTTAGAAGATCTTCTACAGTTATATTCTTACATTTATTATGCTTAAATTAGCACTGCCAGATTGCAAATGTCATGTTCCCTTAGCAGGAAAACATTTTCCCCCCCCAGCTTTTCACACAAATTTACCCTTCCATAAATATGTAACAAAACACTTGTAGTAGTTGAAACAAATGCTATTTTTATAACTGTTATGCCAATGCGTGGTGGTGTTTTTAAGTCACTTTTGCCTAGAGGCATATCAAGGTATATACAGGCAGCTTAAAAATTGATCATACTTGATCAGTCTCTGCAAAGGCAATAAAAACTATTAGTGAAAACTTTAAAATCACAATGCATTATTTGAAACAAATCTAATAAACTCTATGTCTTTTGGTACCTGAAAAGTACAAATCTAAAACTGGTCTTGCTCTTCATGAGCCTGTGATACCAAAGTCAACTTTGAAGTATGAAGATGGAAGATGGTTAAATTCTGCCTTTCTTTTTGTTTCTAATTTGGTAGGTATTTTGCTCTCTCTCAAAATCCAGGACAAAATTCCTCAGTGGCAGAAAAAAAATTGCTGCCTCCTTCTGGCACAGGCACCAGGAGGTATTGGTATTCTTTAACTTTAGGCCACCTTGACATCCCTTTACTCCCACCAAGTCTCACTGATATACCAATTTAAAAAATAATTTAAAATGCTTAGTGAAGTATCAGTCTGCAAAATTAACACAATGTGGAATTATGGTTTTTAAAGTATTTAAAAAACAATATTAAATATATATATATATATTTAATATTACATATTTCTTCAAAAAGAACAAAACTAGATCTTTTCACCTTTCCTTCTCTTCTCTTCTCTTCTCTTCTCTTCTCTTCTCTTCTCTTCTCT